CAGATATCCTCTCATGCCCTTAAACAATCAATAATACACAGAAACATAATCCTAGTATTGCCACTAATTATAGGATATGAGCATGGTTTTTACTTATTTTTTTAATATTTTATTTATTTGTCAGAGAAAGAAAGAAAGAGAGAGAGCACAAGCAGGGGGAGTGACAAGCAGAGGGAGAAGCAGGCTCCTCACTGAGCAAGGAGCCCAATGCGGGGCTTGATCCCAGGACCCTAAGATCATGACCTGAGCTAAAGGCAGACGCTTAACCAACTGAGCCACCCAGACACCCTATGAGAATGGTATTTAATTTTTACTTCGGTTTCCTCATCTTGAAGATAGGGTACCAGAATTAAAACAAAATCTATATAGTATGCCCTCTAATTCAAGTATCCAATAATTCTCGCATTGTTTTCCTTTCCCTGTCAATGTTCCAGGAATATAGGAAAAACATCTTTTTCTCCCCATCTCACTCAATATTTTTAATCAACTTATCATTTCCAGGGTCCTCTTGGAATTCTTTTTTTTTTATTTATTTAAATTCAATTAGCCAACATGGAATTCCTTCTCTTAAAATTGCTTGTTAAGTGACATTACAAAGATCCACAGACTCTTCCTCAATTTTGCATACAAAAATGTATTTCAAGTTGGGTGTCCATCTAAGAGATCTTTCAGTTTTCATTACAGAAAACAATTTCTGGGGCACCTGGGTGGCTCAGTTGGTTAAGTGGCTGCCTTCGGCTCAGGTCATGATCCCAGGCTCCTGGGATCGAGTCCCACGTTGGGCTCCCTGCTCAGCGGGGAGCCTGCTTCTCCCTCTCCCTCTGCCTGCCTCTCTGCCTACTTGTGCTCTCTATCTCTCTGTCAAATACATAAATAAATAAAATCTTAAAAAAAAAAAAAAGAAAACAATTTCCATGATAACTTCCTTACTTTTTCTGGGTGTTTATTTATTCTCATCTATTAGGCTTGTCCTAAGCATCGTCTACAAACATTCCCTGCACATTTATTTTTATAATCTTCAGGTCTCTTCTCTCCTTGATAAAGTAGCATATAATCTTCAGCCTCTTTTGATAGCCAGTGTAGATGTTACTGGATTTAGCATCTTGTAAATACTTCCTCACACTTTCAGTTAAGCTCTGCTGCATAATGAATAAGATTTCTAACAAAATGACATTAAATCTTGCTCTGTAGTTTGCAATACTAGCAGTGCATAGTTGAATTAATTAAAATGTATACTTATAAGACTGATAAACATGGTAGTAACCTAGAGCATTTGATTTTATTCTTCTAAAAGGCAAGTCAGTCATCCAGGTTAGCTAGATAAACCCTGCATTATGGGTAGTTTTCAGGGAATCTGTTAAATAGGTTAGAGAAGATAGATTTTGGAGAAAAAATTACATTTGTTTCCCCAATATCATCAAAGATTGTTTCTAAAACTCTTGTCTCTTTAGCAGCTGTAATGTTTTCCCATAAAGACTATTAATACCTAGATGGTTTTATTTTTCAGATGTTTTGTTGTTGCATATAGAAACAACTGTTTTCTGTATGTTGATTCTGCATCCTCCAGCTTTACTGAATTTATTTGTTCTAATAGTTTTGTGGTGATCTTTAGGATTTTCTAAGTGGACAGATAAAACAGAAAAGACTCCCAACTGGCACATTTTCTTACAATTAGATAGTCCCAAATTATTAAAGTAATAATTTAACACAGATAAACACTCAAATCTCAGTCACTTCTTATTCATATTAAATTCAAACGGGTATTCTTGAACAAAGGGTAACTCTTTCCCAAAATGGTGTTTAAGGGATATAAGTTACCCCTATCTTGTGAACTTGTCATTTTCTTGGCCTTGTGGTCACCAAGGTCACATACAAAGAGGGGCTAAAAGGTATACTAGTTTCTTAACCCCATCCCCGACCAGAAGTGACACACATTACACTTCTTTAAAAAATTATTTTATTTATTTGAAAGAGAGAGAGCGCAGGAGTGGGAAGGGGGGTGGGGAACAGCAGAGGGAGAATGAGCAGCAGACTCCCCGCTGAGCAGGAAGCCCTACTCAGGGCTCCATCCCAGGACCACAGGATCATGACCTGAGCCAAAAGCAGACGCTTAACCAACTGAGCCACCCAGGTGCCCCATTACACTTTTGATCACATTTCATCATTAGAGCTCAGTCATATAGCCACTTAATGTAAGAAAAACTAGAAATGATAGTGTTCTAGAAAAAGGAGGAGTCAGAGTTGCTCATTAACTATGGTAGTATCTATGCTAATTCTGAATTACAGAAGAACAGAGCTAAAAGGGACTTCTTACAGAAGAACAGAGCTAAAAGAGCTAAAAGAGCTAAAATCTTCCATCCAACCACCTATTTTATAGGTGAGGGCCCTGAGGACTGGAATAATTAAGTAGTTTACCAAATGTAAACAATATGGTTAATAGAGAATATAGACATTACCACTTATTACCTGATAGTTTGTCCAGTTCATCCCATCTTAAAACAGAACTTACGGCGGTAACTCCAGCTATTCCCTATCATCCACTACAGAGTCTGCATCACTTCAGTAGCCCCACCCACCACCCAAGATTCCCATGCTCCTATCAACAGACCTAAAACCCATAGTGGATTGGCCAGGAAACTCACTTACAATGAGCCGGCCTTCTGGGGGACAATAACCTTAAGAATTTGATGCAAAGAGGGCAAATCTTGTCAAAAGCATGAATATCAACTCATAAAATAGCAGAAGATACTTCCAACAAAACTAAGTGATTGGTTTGCCTTTTAAAATGACATAACCTAACTAAAGGATGAGTGCTTAAGCCCCTCTATTCAATTAAATCATCTGGATAAAGGCATTACTTTGGGCATACGATCATTGAAATTTAGAATCTTTGTTCTCAATGCTTCTACAACTTCCCTTTGTCTGGAAATAACAAATTACCACTTACCATGCCAACAGATAGGCCTCCACAAAAGCATGTTAAACTTTTTCAATCTCTTTGCTTTCATCTTTTCAGGCCATCATTTAGTGATCATACCCTGTCTGTATACTTTGCCAGGGACCACAGTGAATCATCTGGCAGAGGGATTCTCCAATGCATCATGCCCAGCAGTGTTGTTAAAGTTGGGGAACTGCTACATTAATGTCCCTTTGTGATATAATTCCTTAGAACAATTGGCACTTGCACATTTCTAAGACCTGTGTGTAGCAGGCAACACAATGCACAGACAGAATCTGCTTTACCTACAAAAAATAAGCCCCAAGATTAGGATCTATTTTTACTTGATTTCAAGGCATTTGCAATACCTATTTTCAGGTAGTCTATGCTCCTACATGGCCCTGTGAATAACTCTGAAACAGTTTACCAAGAACATCATGCTAGCTGGGTCTCTAAAAGTCCTGAACAAACACATGTGCTACTGCAAAAGCAGTTGAAAATTGGTCTGGTTTCCACAAACTAAAACTTGCCATATTTCAATGTCACTAAGTACACTATCATGAAACAATTTTTTTTTAAAGATTTTTTATTTATTTATTTGAGAGAGAGAGAATGAGAGACAGAGAGCATGAGAGGGAGGAGGGTCAGAGGGAGAAGCAGACTCCCCGCCGAGCAGGGAGCCCGATGCGGGACTCGATGCCAGGACTCCAGGATCATGACCTGAGCCGAAGGCAGTCGCTCAACCAACTGAGCCACCCAGGCGCCCTCATGAAACAATTTTTAAGGAACTATTGTCACAGTTACTCCCAAGACAGATGTCCACCAGATTCATTTCACAATTTCCTTAATTAGACTTTTTCTTTCAGCATCAAAACACAAATAGAAGGAGACTATGTTATATTTCAAGAGAACACACCAACACTTTGAAAATAATTACTTTTTGAAAGATAGTTATTACATAAATAATTGATTGCACTGCTAAGTGCTTATAAATGCTTCATATAACAAACTGAATACAAGCAATCGTATCATCTACAAGCAACAACTGATATAATTACATTCACTATGACTATACAAGATAGTCTTTACCAACTCCACACTGATTTAAAGTAAGTTGTCTAAATATTGAAGGAACTCATCAAGAATTAAAATTTATCCCAATTTCAACAAACACATTACCCTATTTGTAATGCAGGAAGGAAAAAGGAAAACAATGAACAAAAGAAATATACAAACGTAGCAGTTTTGTTATTTCAACTACATAATTTATACTAGGATCTGTTTCACATAAAAGGTTCACCGAGGAAAAGCAAACCCAAGATAGATTTGAACGCATATGCAATTAGTAACTGAATCACTCCATTTAAATTTAAATTTCAATAACTAATGAAGTAATAGAATCTTCAACTGTAGGGAAGTGAAAAAAGGTAATTAACAAATGTTGGAGTCTCTTGAGCAATAATATCTGAATCTTATCCTAGATTCCTGATGCTTTGGATCACCTACCTGGTGTCCTCTCAATCTGGGGACAAAGTCATTCTTTGAATATACCTTTCATTTATTCAATAAATAGCTGTTGAGCATCCAATATATTCTACGCATGGTATTACATTTTAGGAATACAATAGAAATATGGTACAGTCCTTGCCCTCAAGGAGCTCATGCAGTGATTAGACCAAGACAGACTTATAAATAAATAGTCACAGTAAAACAATAAAGGGATCCTGAAAGAAGTCTGGATATTGTTCAATGTTGAAACAAAAAGCAAGCAGTTAATTGCAACAGGAGGGGTACGGGAAGAGAGGAGTATGGTATGGTGAAAGGTTACATGGAAGACGTGATGCACTAGATGAGTAGGTGTTGTACATATGTCAGCAAGGTAAAAGATGTCCCAGAGAATGGAAACTACATTAGCAAACTCTATCAGCAATGGAGAAGAAATTAGTTTGTGAAGGTTGATGCAGACTTTGCAAGTTGGGGCATGAATTAATGAGACAGAAACAGAATCCTGGCCCTCTCTCCTTACTCATTCTCCCCTACTGATCTAATTTAGACACACTGATCCTCAAAGCCTCCTTTATTAGATTCATTGAACTTCCTTATTCATCTTTTTCCCTTCGAAGTAGCCAGTAGAATGAAACTATTAATTTGTCACCTCTTCAAGTTAATATGCTATTCATTTCAAGATTCCAAAGCAACCCTAAAAATATATCAAGGAACCAAATATTATACTGGCCATTAGCATATTTCTTGGGATGGATTCAACAGGTATAATCAAGTAATTATTTTTCTCCTACCACAGTTTAAAACTTCCTGTAGGGTCTCCCTCCCCAGCTTCCAGATGCTATCTTGGGCATAATTTATGCCCAAGCTTAGGTTGCTTTAGAATTGTTTAACTACCTAAGTTTAAGAATTAAAAAGTTCACTGTAATCAAAATCATGTATCTCACAAATAACAAGCTTCTTGCCTTCCCCTGGCTTAGGCCTGGCCTTGTCTTAGTGGCCAGCAGGGAGGAAGAGGGCCTTGATCTGTTCTTTTCCTCTCCTTGTCCTTCCTCCTCACCTTCTTTGGACGCATTGTGCTGTCTCCTGCTCTTGCAGCATGCAGGTGAGAAAGAAAGAATGAGAAAAGGCTTGTGTGGTTCTCTCCCGGCTGTCAACGTCACCCACCTACTGGGCTGAGTCTCAGAGTTGCTTCATCCCTCTCTTACTTGGGTCTGTTGCAATGACTAATGCCATTCTCTAGAAGGAGGAAAGGATGCTGTTAACAGTTCTTTGGCCTAAACTGATACTACCAGAAACAAACAAGCAAATAAACTATTAAACCTTCCTTACATGAAAGTAACAGAACAGAGAGAGCCACAGCAGAGTGACTGAAGCTACAGAAAGGAGGGAAGAGCATTAAGTGGTGACTGCTAAAACTGAAATTCTTAAAAGGAGAAATGTCTTATGTTGAGAAAAGACGTAAATTATCTTTTATCATTTTGCTTGCTTCCAGAGAATTGCTACCAAATATTACCCTGTTTCACTTCAGTAATCCCTATCTGAATCCTTTTTGGCTGTAAACACATGTCTGGAGATGCTCCTCTCATCTTACACTCTGTCAGAAGCACCAGGGAAAAAGGACCTCAGCTCAATGAGGGTCCTCGCTGGAGCTGAAGACACTCAGGACAAAACAAATTGGCCGTTATCCTTGAGGGCAATGTGCCTCAGAGGCCAGTGACCCCAGGGCTCTGATATCTCTATTTTTCTTTAACTTTAACACTTATCCACAAACCACCCTCTCTAACAAAGGTATGCATGTGACAAGCAGACAAGCTTTGTTCAGCCAGTGTCTCTGTTTTAGGGGTATCATCATTTGTTCTCAGCAGGAACTGAAGACAAAGAATTGGACTTGCTGGCTGATCTCTAAGTAAATTCCTCTTATTATATCCTCAAGTCCTTCACTGCTTTCCAAAATTTAAAGACAAACTTGAAGAGAATATCCAAACAGGCATCTCTTGCTTTAAAACAATGGGAAACCCAAAGGGACCTCAGGGTCTTCAATGAGCAAATCAGTCTTCTCCAAATTTGTTTTATTTGGCACTGAATGAGAAAGAGACTGTTTTTAAAATAACTGTGAAAATTGGTAGACTCTCCTGATATAGTACACTGGCCAACTTTTAAAAGTTGGTAGTAAATTATATTTGCAGTTATTTCAAAAAGAGGTTCTGTATAAATACAATGGCAACTGATGGTCCATTGAGGCCATAATTTTTCACTGTACCATTTCAATCTTTTCTAAGAGTAAGAAAAAGAATGTTTCTAATTACATTTTGTAAAAGCAATAAATTTTACCCCTTCAATTACATTTAGATTCAGGAAGCATTTTTTAAAGAGCCTTTTAAAAAAGATAAATAGTATGTTTTTGTTAATGGACGTAGAAATTTAAAAAAATCTACACTAACCACAATTGAATCTGCAAATTCAATGAATTATCCAGAAGACATATACCCTAGCTTCCAAATTAGAGAGCATTTAATCACATATATAAATGTTTTATGAACTTCTCTTACAATGTCTTTTAGCCAGCAGATTCTGGTGACAGAAGAGTAACAGAAGACCACTCAGGTCATGAAATTTTCCCACTCACATTTTACCCGGCTAGTCTCCATGTTCATATCATTTCAACATTCTCGACAGTATTCTGATCTTCATTTTTATTGTCTCTAGTTCAATTCAGAGAATTATTTACTGAGTATACTAAATTATATTTCATTGAACTAAAAGAACAAATACATCAGCAAATATGTTTCACTTTAGACACATACAATATATTGTGTCTTAGCCTAACCTAACCACAAGGTTAGTATCCAGATGGCTTGACCTCCTCCGCTTTTTGATTCCTTTTAATAGGGTTCTCCTGATATTTATTTGCCAGTATTATCTAAATGCAACTGTTTCATTGTCAATCTATAAAATGGAGTTTTAGTCAATCACAATGTAATGCACTCTCAATATAGTACAATTTTCATTTAATGAATTAATTTTTATGCAAATTTAACCTTTAATGGTGCTACAAACAGTTGCATTCAAGTTACATCTCCATAACATTTCCCAAATGGTTTAAAAGTAGTGAGAGTGGAAAACAACTAATTTTTTTGGTAATTAAAATGCCCCAAACATTACGTCGGGCTTAGTAAAATTCTCCAGTGTCCTCATTTATTTGTCAGTACTTACTCTGCATGATTATGACAGTAGGCTTGATCCCCTTTGGTGCATGTGCCAAGAAGAACATTGCAAGTAAGACTTCAGCTAAATGGACCACAGGTCAAAACCCCTGATAGAATAAGGCAAGGTCATATCTAAATTGACGCCATGGAACAGTGACGTTAAAATCTACCTGAGAGCTTTTCTCTAAACACAATTATGTAAGAAGGTATAAGTCTTGCTAATAATTTCTCTTGAAACACCTTAATTTCCCTGAAACCTAGCTACTGGGGACAGAGTATGGGTTTCTGTGTGCATTTGGTGTTTATATTTTTAAAAAGGTTAATTAAAAGGTGATTAACTCCATCTACAAACAACAGAAATACAGAGTAGAGATGTATCTCTCTTCCTGTTCTGAGAGTAACGTGGTAACTACTGCTGTAGAGGAAAGCTTATCACAGGGTCTGGCACATGGTGTATACTCAGTATCAAGACAGTACCAAGGAATCAGTAACATATGGTTCCCCTACTCACTGGCCAAACCTGCTATCCTTATACCCAGACCTAGATAATTTAGCACAGACTGTGGTGTTATCATTTTTACAAGCAACACCATAGGCTCCAATTTAGAATGTTAAATCCTGTGGGTCACATATACAACCACTTAAGCAACCTCCTTAAGTGTCTTCCCATTACCATGTTTCAATCAAATGGTCCCCTCTATTACCTGTGCATGTCTGCCTTCCTCATTAGATTGAGGGCAGGGCTCATCATTTCTAATAACGTGTGGTTCAGAGTAAGAGCAGTCACAATGGATGAGCACACCAAGCTCAATGTTCAGGAGCAAACACCTCTGGCTTTATTCTTTATTCAATTATCTCTGAGATGATAGGGAAATTGCTGTCACATGCAATTTCTGTGTAAAATGTGTGGGGAAAGCAATTGGCTTGAGCTGTAGTCTGAGAATTGTGTAATCAGGTCAGAATGCTTAATGTTAAAAAAGTTATGCAGGGGAATATTGATTCATTCGTGAGACAAATATTTATTGTGTGCTTAGTAGGTTCTGAGTGCTGGAGACTCAAATTTAAAAGAGACAAGAACCTTCTTCAAATGTTGTAGCGAAAAATCAGTGCAATGTAATGTGATAAGTACCATGCTGGAGAGACGAACAGATTATAATAGCACTACTACCAAGTAGGACCTGGAGGATTCATGAGACAAAAAAAAAGGAGCATTTGGAGACTAAAAAAAGAAAATTTTACAGAGGAAATATCTCTTTAGCTCTAAGAATGAATATGACTTTGGCAAATGAATTAGGTAAGGGAAAGGCATTCAAAAGAAAAAGCATGGTGAAAGGCATAAAAATTATGAATTCATTTTATGAACTAAAAATTATGAAAGTTATATTAGATTCAAAAAACTTAAGATAGTTTGGTAGCCTGGGACAAAAGGTTTGAAGCAGGAAACATAAAAGACAAGGCTGTGAATCAGACTTGAACGACATTGGACATCGGTAGTGGTTTTTAACAAAGAAGAAACTATGACAGCAAGGAAGGAAATGTGATAATAGCAAGATAATTAACCAACAGGTATTTATAAAAGTACTTTGAGGCAAGAATGTTGTAACACAAGTTTGATTACAGCATTTAAAGTTGAAGATATCTTTGTACCAAAAAGTACAAAGAAAAATAAAAGCTACTTAAGGTAACTTTTATTACCTGAACTCTTTATATAAATTTTATCTAAAGATATTTAGCTTTGCCATCAACTGTCACACACATACACACACACACACACACACAGATTTAGAGGGGGGAAAAGGTAAGGAGAACACAGGTACTTTATTAGTATCAGCATGAAATATCCTTTTTTTTAAAATATAATCTCCCTCCACATCCTTGGAAGTAATAATTCCAATCAGCCTTTGTTTTTGTTGTTTTGTTTTAGTCAACTCTGTTGGATCATAGTGTTACTATAACCGTTCATAATGTGAGCTTGGAGATTGATTCTTATGATATCACTTAGAAGGCTGTCCCTTGTTTGCTCTTCTACCTAGAAAAGGTAATCATTACTACTTTAATCTAGTTGTTTTAGTCTTGCTTCCTAAAAATCACATTCACACCTCAACTGAAAGTGACTCATGCAAATAATTTTTACCCATTTTAAACACTTTCTACCTAAAGTAGAGGTTGATAGGTTAATTCAGGAAATTATGTAATTTGAAATTTTAAGCACTGCTTTCTTTTTTATATAACTTTCTTATTATTACAGAGTAGAAAAATGAAAAAGTACAAGTTAGCAAATCTGCTATTAATATTTTGGTATTGTCCTTCTATCCTTTCTCTTAATATCCTTTTCTTTATCCTTCTATCCTTCATCTAAATAGCTAGGTAAAGAGGAAGGTAGATAAATAGGTAGATGGATACATACATAGATTAAAGAGAACATAGATATAGATATAGATAGATAGATAGATTTAGCTATTTGATGCAAATGGAATTATATGTTGATTTATAGCTTACATTTTACTTTCACTATCCCCATCCTTCAGTTTTTCCACAAGACTAATGACTGTGAAATATGCCATATTATAAGTATACTATAATTTAATCTTTTATAGTGGTATATTAACATTATTTCATTGTTGAAAAAAACAAAGTTGTGTACCTTAATATTTTAGAGAAATGCTTTCTACAATTTACTGTTAACTAATAAAGGGCTTTGTAGAGTCTTTAAGAACACTACAAATACCTCAAGAAAATGTAAAAAAAAAAATGTCAAGGTACAGGAGTGCCTGGGTGGCTCAGTTGGTTAAGCGTCTGACTTGATTTCGGCTCAGGTCATGATCTCAGGGTGTGAGATTGAGACCCACATCGGGCTCTGCACTCATCGGGGAGTCTGCTTAAGATTCTCTCCCTCTCCTCCTGCCCCCTCCAGTGCGCTCTCTCTCTCAAATAAAGAAATAAGTCTCAAAAAAGAAAAAAAATCTTTGCTTTCAGGAAAGAGTGCTTGCCTAATTTTAAATTCAGTGTTTCCTGGCTATGCTACGACAACATCCACTGTGATGAGCTGAATCATATCTATATTTTACACAGCAATATCTAATAATGAAAACCAGTTAGTTGGTCAAATTAGCCAAACCAAGCATATCTCCAATTATTTGTAACAACCAAACTTAGTGGTTCTCAAAATCTAGCAGACATAAAAAAAAAAAAAAATCATTTTGGGAACTTTTTAAAAATGCAGATTCTCAAAATTGACCTCCCACCCGTAATTCAGATTCAGTAAGTCAGTGGTGAAACTGAGGAATCTGCATTTTTTTCAAGTATGCTAGACTAGTGGGCCAGCAAACTCTCCTTAAAGGGCCAGATAGTGATATTTTATGCTTTGATCGTCTGTCACATATTTTTCTCTTTGTTTTATATAATTTTTTGTTACTATTTATGTCTTTAAAAATGTACAAAACATTCTTCACAAACTGAGCCATACAGGCTCCAGGGCAGATTTAGCCTATTGGCTGTAGTTTGCTAACCCCTGCTCTCGATTTTGATGCAAATGATAAGTGGATAGTAATTTGAGAATTGCTGCACAAGGAGGAGCTCAGGAACCATATGACTGGTGTGGTTACCTCAATAAGCTATTATTTGGTATAAATTAATATTACTGTTGCTTTATACTTCTCCTTCTAGATAGTAATAAAGGCATATTCTTCTGTTGGATGTTTAGCTACTGTACCTAGGGTGGTTTTGTTTGTTTTCTCTGGCTGAGTCCTAAAGGACAGAACACTTCATTGTCTACAATGAACTGTAAGGTCATACTAACATGCATTGTAAAAGGCACAGGGCAATGATGTTACATGTTGACACTATGGTTCAATTAATATGTGGGTCCCAGTCCAAATTCTGACATTACTGATAGAATTAAAGTCAGTGAACTGCAAAATACTTTAAGAAGAGCTAATAACGGCTGATTATGGACTTTGTTCTCTTTTATACCAATATAGAAGATTGCATTTTCCAATGATGGCTACAGTATCTTCCGCTGCACATGTTTTTCTTAACAATGTGATTTTGACACTCCTATTGAGAGGCTGTATCAATGAAACTGGGTAGGCTTGTAACAACAGCAGAAGTGGCATTATATGACTTTTAAACTATGTCATAAAGGGCAAGAAAGCTTCCAACTGGCTCTCTGGGGACACTTGCTTCCAGAATCCTGCTGCCATGCTGTGAGGAAACCTACATGTAGAGGCCACGGGTACATATTCCAATTGATAGCCCAGATCCGGACTCAACATATAGCCAGCATCAACTGCCAAACATACCAGTGAAGATGCCTCTAGATGACCCTAGCCTCTAGCTATTGAGTCATCCCAGCCATAAAATCTTCCCAGCTGAAGCCTCTGACATCATGGAAGAAAGAAGTCATTTCCAGAGTTGCCTGTCCAGATTCCTAACTACAGAAACCACGAGAAATAATAATATTATTTTAGTTTTTTAAGGCACTTGGTTTGGGGATAAATTTTAAGCAGTAATAGTAAATAGAAAAGCAAAGGAAACAAATCCAATGTTATTCCCATGACTTTGATAAATTTAACAATCATTAAAAAAATTAGAATACTACATGGGCACCCATGAACATGGATGTGTGTGTGCATACCCCAATGACATTTTAGGAAACCCTAAAAGAATCCATACTTTGTTTTTCAAAGAATTATATTTAGTTGAGGGTTTAGTGGATAAAAATTAATCATATGTGAAGTCCTATATGTCAAAGGTGTCAGATGGCTTTTTAAATATAAATATATAAAATGTAGATATTTTATACCTATATAGACATATGAGAAAACTGAATATTAGTTATAAAAATGGCAATTTACCAAAATAAATTTGTTATTAGAAAATAAAGCTCAGCATAAATCTTTATGATAATGACTAAGACACCTGATAGCAGGATATACATGCATACACAGTAGTGTATATGGTATAGTATTGTTACTTTTTTAATAAGAGCAGCAAAGTTGTAGAGAAGAACCATTAGCATCATTCCAAAATTCCATTTCCCA